TGGGGGCACCCACAGAGAAGGCCCTCCCCCTGGGGGTCGCCAGCCTACACTGCTTGGCCGACGGCACCCTGAGGAGGCCCGCTCTGTGGGAGCGTACCGGTCTATGGGAGGGAATCTGTGGCAGAAGGCGGTCTCGGAGGTAGCCAGGTCCAATGCCATGGAGTGCTTTAAAGGTGGTAACTAACACCTTAAAGCGCACATTCCCTAAAATGCCAACCTTTCAACAAGCCAGGCTAGGTCAGAAAAGCACAGGAGGTGGGTGGGCTTGTCTGTCTTAAATAAGACCTTAATTCATTCTTAATTCCTGAAAGTTCTTATTTTTTAAGTCAGAGCAATTTTTAAGTTAGCCATTTCTGCGCAGTTCAATTCAACTTTTCGATAGCCTTTTGCCAGAAAGCTTTCCCCCCCTAAAAATACGGTTGTGATTATACTTTTGAAGTTATCTGAATGTTAACTGTTATTTACATCCTATCATGCCGAAAATGAAGTCTCTTCAGGCATTCTGATGCTTTCCTATTATAAATTATAGCTATCAAACAGAATCTCAAATTAGTTCAAATTGAATCTAGTTGCCTTTGTAACCTGAATCATACATTTGAACTGAATCCAGCTACCTTTAAAATCTCAAATTGGATCTTGGCTAATTTACATATCTGTACCATTATTGTAGTGAGTCACTAGAGGGAGATGTTTCTATACTTGCACAGCATAGAAACAGATTTTGTTTCAAAATATTTTATTTACTGAATAAGGCTCCGTTGGATTCCAGCTAAACAACTAACACCTTTTCTATATGTGTTGATTTATCGCTTAAAGATAGGTTTGCTTATATTTGGCTTTGAAAATTGAGTCATGCCCAAAATAAGTTGCTCCTAACCTTTCCTTGAACAAAGAAAAGTAAACTTTTCTCCAAGTGAGCCAACGGGACCTAAAACAAATAATAGCTGGTTTTATTTCAAATGTAACGCTATTTCTGATGCTCAGAAAAATATAGCTAATCATAGGGTTTTTTCGCCCTACAGGACTAAGTGCAAAGTAGCTGCTATAAATATATTTACTAATAAAAACAAATGACTGACTTTAAAAAGAAAGGGGGAGTGGGGAAACAGTGGTTGATAAAAATGCAAAAGCTTGGTAATTTTCCAGCCACTGAAATATACAATTTATCATGGTCAATGGAAAATCTCCACATGTAGACATTAAATCGAACTGTCCCAGATTCTCTATATCCTATCATGGCAGGTTCTTTTTAAGAAGAGAATAGGTGGATTCGAGAAAGGTTGTTTTCTTTTCCTGTCGTTTGGAACCAAGCAATTAGTAATAGCAATGCCATTGGCAAAAAGTCCCAAAATATTGTCTGGGGGCAAAGAACTAAATTTCGGAAAGATGTAAGGAAACTTTGAAGCTGTAGTTGATATCTCAGATTCCGTTCTTTCAGCTTTGGCTGTGAACAAATTAATAGGCCTGGGGGAAGTTACTATTTTTGTCATACTTGGCTCCCTCCCTCTTCTCTGTAGAATTGGCATAATGATATTAAAATATTAACCTATCATACAACACTGTGGAACAGGGTCCTTAGACAAATATGTAAATTTATCCAAACATCTGAAAGAAGGATGAGAAAATGGAAAATAATGTAACCATCAAGGTGTTGTTCTTTTTTCATCATTACCTAACTATTCTTCAATCAGAAACATACACACACATACACACAAACATAAAATCAGTCTCTTGTTTTTGAGTGTTACAGTGGGATGGACTAGATGACCTCCAAGGTCCCTTCCAACTTTATTATTATGGATCATCGCACAGTCAGCCAGAGGTTCAGACTGGATTTGGCACTTTGTCTACCTATCGAGTCCTTCCCAAGGACCTGGGATAGGCAGATGTGGATGTTTGATGGTATTACAGATATCGTCGCAGGATGAAAGCAGTTCCTAGTAAGGCCGCCTTTTGCAATTGACTAATGGCAAATTTGTCAATGCCAATGGTGTTCAAGTGGTGCTCAAGTTGTTTTGGGATTGCACCCAAGGCGCCTATTACTATTGGTACTACCCTTGCTTGCTTTTGCCACAGTCTTTCTATTTC